ATTTTCTATTGAATTCACTTAGTCCAAATGAATTTACAATTAAGCATTCACGCATGCATAATTGAGTTCAATCTGCAAAAAAGGATGCATTATAAGCACAGTGGAATCTACTTTACAGGTTGTCAATATAAGTCATCGATGGATTCCCGATCATCTGAAAGAGACATCTTAATTTAGTTTTAATTGTAGTATTATGTGCTGTTTGTGATTAAATTTTGAGTTTTCTTATATTTTGAATATTATGGCGATGAATTTTATCTAAAATAATTAAAGAATAGAAAATTATGTCCGAATCATATTCTTGAAAATGATTTTTCGGACACTAGAATATTAAAAAAACCCAATTTTACGATGAACAAGTTTATCGTGACGAGTTTGAGTTTTCTAGGGTGTCAAGCTATGATGTCAAATCAAGTGGTCATATGGTTGTAGTTCTTTAAATCTTTAAATTTTATGTGGGATGTATGTGGGATGTTAAAGTTGATTAGAGCGACACCGGTTAGGATCCTACGGTTCCCTCATTATGACACCAATATTTTTTATTTGATCACTTAGTCCAAATGAATTTACTAAACTCAACTTAATTAATTCTATAATTTCATTTAGACCGTGGGAAGCCTCGTTAGCAACCATAGGTTACCTCCGCTGAGGGGTTCCAGATCATTCGATAGAGACGTCTTAATTTAGTTATAGTTGTTGTTTTGTGTGATGTTTGTGATAATTTTGAATTGTTTGAGATACTATCAGAACTAAATTATTAACTACTAGCAAAACTAAAATGTAAAGTTTAAATAGTAACTACTAAACTATGTTTTTTGTGATGAAGTTTTCTAATATGAAAAAGCATCTTTCCCACTACAATGAGTTTTTGGTAAAATGAGATGAGATAAAAAGTTTAAATATGTATTGTGTCAAAAAAGGAGCAATTTTAATTCTCTACCCTGATTCAGTGTTATAGAAAATCATTGGCTAATCTTAGGTTTAGTCCGTAAATTCATGGTTAGGCTAAGAGGATATTAGATCTAGGTCATATCTTGGTGGGACCTGACAATGACTTTATATATGCTTAAAAATATAAGTATTTAATATTGCTGCTAAAAGATTTAATTCCTTAGCAACTGCACCAAAAATTTAATAACAGTTATAGATTCGATAAAGATGTATGTATAAAATATTCAATAATTGTAAAGTCACACTTATCAATGCAAGTATACGTATCACTCAAGTAATATAGGGCTCTAATGGAGTCCTAGATATCGATCCCACAGGGAGTAATATTAGAACTACGAACTAAGATTTTAGAAAAGAAGTACTTAATCGCAACAACAAAATTCAAATTGCTTATCTGTCACTAATAAATAATTGAAATAAATATGAAATTTTAATAACTCTTAAATAACTAATTATACTAATAGAGGTTTTAATGTGATATTCAATATATAAGAAAGCATCCTTCTCCTTGTCAAGAAATTATAGTGAATTGATAAAGTGAAAAAGTTCAAATTGTATTGTGCCAAATAGGAGCATACCTATTCTTTACCCTTTGGTCCAAGCATAAAGAACATTGACTAATCCTACGCTTGTTTATTGAATCTGCAGCTAGGCTGGGAGGATACTGGCT